AAAAAAAAAAGCAAAAAGAAGTAAACATTGCAAAATTGTCCAAGAAAAAAAAAGCAATTATATTGCATAAATTAGGAAAAAATTTTTTTTTTTTTTTTAAGTGAAATAAAACAAAATTAACCTCATTGAAAATGATAAGAACAATACCAACAGGTAAACAAAATAGCCAAACAAATGCCGGTGGATGTGTAACACGAAGCCAATATTGTACACTTGGCATGTAAATCATAAAATTAAGAATGCAAATTTCAATAAGTAATGCAAGTACTGCTGCAATATTTTGTGTACCATGTTTAAAGATGGAAATTCTTCTTGTTGTACAAAGCCAGAAATGAAATACCTAAAATTACATATTCATATATGTATATTATTACTGAACAGACCAAGAAAAGAGTGAATGAAGAAATAATAAGTTGAATTTATTTGAAAGTTTGTTCATCTGTTTAGTAATAATTTTTATTTAATTACTTTTAAAAAAGTAATGATTTATTTTCTAAAAAAAATCTAAAAATAAATTCTGCCTTTTTTCTTCATATTTATTCATTATAATTTTACATACTATATATATGAAAATGTATACTGTACCTGTGACATAACTAATGTAATATGCCATGCAGCTTTTGCTTGACCATGAATGAATATTTGTATTTCGGCTGTATAATGTTTTCCGGTGTTAGTTGATAAAATTTCTGCATTTGGACGCCAATGATTGATATTAGAATGAAATAAATCTCGCAGAGTTATTTCATAGTACCTCAAGTAGAATTTCATAATTTATCCATCAAAGCATTCAATAATAATTTCGAATTAACTTTATAAATGATTGATATTATTTAAATTTACATAATATTTTCAAATTCCCAAAGCGTCGTCAAACATCTTTTTTCCGAAAAATTTTAATAAACAGTTCAGAAAGTACACCAGTAATATGATTGTTGTAATTAAGTAATTGCAAAATCTCATCTCTCAAAAAAAATATTCAAAAAGAAAATAATCTCAAAAAAATAAAAATTAATTGCAAATATTCCAAAAAAAAAAAATATTCGAAAAATATCTAAAAAAATAATAACAATCTAACCATACAACTAGTATATTGGTTATATGCTTAGATTTAAAGTTTGGATTTATGAATAGGGAATAACTGTAATCGATTATAACAGTACAATTGATAATCTTTCAATTTTATCACAGAAATATTTTGGTTTATTCGGAGATGTAATAGATAAAATAGGTGTAAAAAAAAAATTAAAGCATATCATTCAAGCTGTTTCACTGAAACTTATCAGACTAAATGTAATACAAAACCAATTTGAAAATGTCTTTTTTTCTAAATAAAAAAAAATACAAACCAAAAAACGGATAAATATGCAATGAAACATCCAACTGATATAATACTACCAACAAAAATATATGAATAAACAAGAAGCGCTTTTGAGACTAATCGAGCGGTTGATTTCCTTGGTGGTCTACACATGATATCCTTTTCACCAGCTTCATATGTAAGTGCTATTGATGGTGGTATTTCTGTGATTAAATCTATCGAAAGAACCTAAAATTGGAATTTCTTTCAAAAAAAAATTTCATTGAAAAATTATAAAATAATGGAAAAAAGGAGAATTTTGTTTACAATAAAGTGATATAAATTTAATTCTGTGAAAAAAAAACGAAAAGAAAAATTTTAGTGTAAAAATTTTATTTTATTTAATATAAAACAAACAATTCTTCAAATCATTTCATTTTTCACAAAAAAAAAAGTAGAAAAACAAAAATGAAACACAAAACCTGTAAACTACTAAGACCAATTGGAAAACCGAAAGCAAATTCTAGCATAACAGCGCATAATTCAGGTACCATATGAGCTAATGTATATGCTATCGTTTTCTTCAAATTTGCATACAGTAATCGACCTTCCTTGATACTTTTAACAATATGCTTTACATCACTTTCCGTATATACCATATCTGCTGCTTCTTTTGCAAATGCACTTCCGGAAACGATATTTATTCTATTTGCCTATATATTAAGCAATTATTGCCGGATCACAAAATTTTCCGGATCATAAATAAAAAATTAACAATTATTGTTTGCTTCAACGACATAAGAAATAGACCATTTTTCGTTTATTACTTGTTGTTTTTTTCATTATTTCCTTATTAATGTATGATCCCTGATAACGAATACATTATGATATCATTGATCTAATTAATATTTTCTGCAGAATTAATCGTTGCACAACAATGATAAGCTATTTGAAGGGATAGTTATTGATATTACAAATTTATAATTTCTGAAATGAGCAATAATGAAATAAAGGTTAATATGTGAATGATACTTACCAACAGCTTCCATAGCAATGCCAACATTAGCTTCCTTTAATGCAGGTGCATCTAAAACACCATCACCTGTAACTGCCACAACTTCACCTCGACGACGACATTCCTGTATACATTTGTATAAAAAAAAATTATAAATAGTATGATTAATAAGGCTTATTAATTCGAATTTATTAATTTCGAAACAGTGAAAGATTTGTATTAGTTCTAAGATTAACATGTCGGTAAAAGAAATATATAAATTTTGTCATAACAGATAAATATTAAAAAAAATATTTGGGGGTAGCATTTTCACTTGCCAGTGCAAAAATTACTCATTAACATTAAGCTTATAATAAATTGATAACAATTGATTGGTATATTTAATGAATGATTGATTAAAAACATACAGATCTAATTTACCAGTCGTATGGTATTGCATTATGATAATTTACATTACTTTAATAATATACCTTAACGATAATCAATTTATGAGAAGGTGTAGCACGTGCAAATACAACAAATTCTTGTTTCAATATATCATCCCATAACTGATCACTTAATGTATCAATCATTTCACAGTGAATTACTGATAAGAAATTCAGCTTCTTCTCCATTTCCGTATTCTTAATTAAACATAATATTAAGTTCTATTTTATTTTACTGTTTTTTTTAGATAAATTGATAACGATTGATTGGTATATTTAATGAATGATTCGTTGAAAAAATCTACAGACATAATTCATTTTATAGCTAATATTTCCTTAAAATTACTTCATACAAAATAATAATTTCATTTAATGGTCAAATCGATTATTATTCCAATTTACAGAAATATAATTTTAAACTTAAGCTAGCTTTAGCTAATTACAACTTATTAATATTTTTCAGTTAAATTTACAATTTTGTTTTTAATATCTATAATTCATTTTTTTATGTTTTTAACGGAGTAAATCTCTTTTTTCCCTCCAACCATATCATATTGTAATCGTATCATTATCAGTTATCAAACGATAAGAGAAGGATAAAAAACATACGATTGAAATGGACAATTTAGACAAACTAACCAATGAAACGATGGATGGTCGTGGGACAGCTAAACCAAAATGACCAGCAACAGCAGCAGCTGTTGATGGATGATCACCGGTAACCATAAAACATTTTATTCCTTAAAATCAAATGAAATTTATTTTTAAATAAATGTAAATGCTAGCTAAATCTAGTAATTCATTAATAAAGACATGGTTTATAATCAAATCTATTATTGTGACAAACAATTTGTAATCGATCTATTATCATACTCAAAAGAAAGATATCATCTTTTTAATTAATTTTTAACGGAAAAGAAAAGTAAAGAAGAAGTGGAAAAATAAAATAAAAAAGAGAAATAAATAATAATTTGATGAAATAATTATGTGTTAAAATATTTGTTAATTAAGAAGAAGAAATGAGTGAAAAAAATCAAAAATATTTAATCTAACCTGCATTTTTCATCGTTTGTAATGCTTGCAATGCTGTATCTCGTGGTGGATCATACATTGCTACCATACCAAGAAAGCATAAATCTAATCGATTTAAACCGTCCCATGATCCGGGTGACTCGATTAGACTTAATTCTTCAAGTTCTGCTATTGCAAATGCTATGCAACTCTTACCTTCATTGCCGTATTTCGTATAAGCTTCCTGAAATTTCACGTTTTAATAATTCAGGAAAAATAATTAGGAAAGGAACTTTTCCACTTTCTTTTTTTAATTTAATCTATTTACTTAACATATGTAAAAAAGAAAAAAAACTGGGAAATGAAAACGACTCTCGAAAAAACGAGAACGACAAAAAGAAAGAGAAACAAAATTAAAACGAAAACAGCCATGTGCGCTTTTGTATTTTCGGCGCAAAAGTTTATACTAAAATATGATTCATACAATATTTTAAATTTAACATACAGTCATGATGCTACCGCAAATTAATAGTAAAAACATGGCCAAATTTTGGCATTATCATGGCCAGAACTAAAAAAGGATTATCAGGTGGTTATCAGTAAAGCTAATATAATTTTGAAAACTAACAGAGAATTGAGCAATAAAATCATCCGACATTTTAATAGAACCATTTTCGGTAGCTAGTAATTTACAATGAGCAAATAATTCTTCGGGAGCTCCTTTAATAAGAACATAAAACCTATAATTATTGCAAATCAATTATTGACTTTTTTTGTTATCAAACTTTAGCAATAAACGTTTTAAGTTTTATTACTTTCTTTTAACTTGTTTACCTTCTAAAAATGATACTTAAATTTTAATAGTAAAAGTCAATTTTCAATATTTTATTCTAACATGTACATTTTATTTTCTCGATAACATTATTTAGCGGAAAAAAAAGTATTTTTAAATAATCTTCTTAAAACAATGTTTTTTCCATCATTTTTCTTTTTCATTTCAAATTTTAATAATAATTATGATGTCATTTATTTACTTTTGAATATAAACATTTACTCATTCTTAACTGCTTTTCATGTAAATTGAAATTTACTCATTTTTTTACTTCACTTATATACTTATACTTATTATTCATACTTTAGTTGTAACTTATTATTTAAACATAGTAACAATGATAATGAAATGGTAGTGTTATTCTGTTATTCATTTACTTTTAAATTTTAATATTCATTTAATCTGAACTTTTTTGTGTAAGCTGAAGTTTTACTTACCATTTAAAATCTGAAACTAATCCAAATTGGGAATTTTCATCAAACTATACTTGAAAACTAATAAAATTATACTTTTGCGCATAGTTAAACAATATTTTAGATCAATATTATTGCTAGGAATAATAAAATGTTGTTAGTATAAATAGCAAAAGTGTGATAAGATTTGCTTTTGGAAATGGAAAATTGATAATGGAAAAATTTTTTATATTTCATTGAAATTTTAATTCCAAATGAAAAAATGATAAAAATTTGTGATGATTATGATAATTCCAATAACAGATATAATAATATCTTTTAATCATGATTTATAGATTAACTGAAAACTAAAAGAGATCAACTAAAATAATCAATTAAAATTAGGAAATAAGAAAGGAAGATTAAAATGAAAATTTTCTAACATATTAACTTACTTCATCTTATCACTATTAGAAGAATCAGTTTTGGATCGTTGACGAACAATGACTATTTGAAAACGTCGTTGTCTGTTGAATGGTACTTCAAAAATGATCTCATAGTTTCGGCGGATTCTTTCACCATTTGCTAACTGTAAAAATTAATTCAATAATTCAGTTATTTCTTTAAATGATATGTAATTATTAGGTCAGGTAATATTGAAAATAATACTAACAGTAATAGTTCCCTAAAAAAGATTACATTTTATTGAACAACAATGCTAATTTATTATCATTAGCACAACCGTTGTTAATATGTGCAGCTAATAGGTAGTTTTTTTTCCGATTTATTATTTTTTTCCTAACATTTCTAACTAACATTTTTTCGATTTATACTAAGCTTTCCGGAATGAATCTTAGATATAATTTACCGAGAATGTTCATGTAGGATTTATAAATCTTATCTAGGAGAGAGGAAGATTCTTTCCTTTCTACGTGTTGAAATAAAATTTACTAATTATCATCATCTATTAATTATTGGCCTAGGCTTCTTTTATCCTTTTTTTTTCTCCCCTCTTTTTAGCTTAATTGTTCTAGAAAAGGTGCTGTGAAATATGAATATCCTATTGTATCTTGTTCAACTCTGACACTACATGAGCAATAGACAATACCTTACTTCTTCGACATATTTCAGCAGTGCAACCTCATTTTCACTTCCAGTTATTACTTTATGATGAAATGCTGATCGTACTGTTCGTTCAATTTCAGCATCTGATATTTTCCCATGTGATACCTTTCTGAATATTTGAATTCAACATTATGAAAGAAACGACAAACTTTTACTAAAAATATCAGAATTCCATTAACTTCATTATTTTATATAATATCACAGGAAAAAAAAAAAATGTACGGAAACACGTACGTGAATTGAAGAATCTTACCCATCCAATAATGATTGGATCGTAATGGTATTACTTGCTCGTGAAAGTTTATTAACCATATGCCATGCATAAATACCACGTGAATTTATAGGTTCCAAATGCGCCTTATTACATATCGACATTACGGTTAATAGCGCTACCAAGCTATTATTATCACTTTCTGATAATGGAATCGATAAATCGGTTGATGATAACTGCATTCGTTTTGCTTTTAATTCTTCTGTACCTAAATATTTTTGAAATGCTGTTAAATTTGTAATTTTCTTAACTTAATTGAAATTTTACATCAAAAATTAGAGTTAGATAAACTTTTCATTGTGTATTAATAATCTCGAATTATCATTTTCCTAACATAAATCAATAAACATTAAAAAAAATGCAACATAAGCAAAGGCTTATTAAATGACGTGCGTAAATTTATTAGGAAGAATGAAAATATTTAATGCAAGTTTAAGTTTAAGCAATATATTGATAATTGATAATTCGAATTTGTAAATGAACATGCACTTTGAATACGGATATTAAATATATTAATATATAAATATTGATATATAAATATCCGTATTTATATATTACATACTTATGTATGCAATATATAATTATTGAATAAATATCCATTGATCTATAATTTTGAGAAGGAAAAATTTGGAATTGGAAAGTTGTAATTTAACAAAATACACATAAATGTTAGAAATAAAACATAAATGTTTATTAACGCAAAAACATTGCACATGGAAAATATAAGTTAAATATTAAATTTTACAGCAAAATGATTTTACGAATAATTGTAATATTTAGGTTATAAAATCAAATTGAAGCAATAATTTTCAATAATGGAGTAAAAAGATAAAGTGTTACTGTCGCATGACATGGAAAATGTTTTTCAGAAATGAAATTGAAATTAAAATAAATACGCACTCAATATTTCTACCAGCAATGTATATAAATATAAATTGAAAAGCTTATACATATAATGTACTTAAATTTTTACGAATGAGTAATTGTATATGAGTAATTGTGTAATTGAGTATAATTGAGTGTATATTGGAATATATGAATGTATGAGTAATTGTTAACTTTTTTAGTTGAATAGAAAAAGAGGAATTCCCTGGAAAAGTCTAGAAATGATGTCATTAACAATAAGCTTAAATAATGAAATAAACTTTAACAAACCCTTGAAATACTGTAATTGGTACCACAAATCGGAAACGGTAATATCATTCAAAGTAAAGATACCCGTTTTATCACACATAACCACTGTTGCTGTACCTAATGTTTCCACAACATCTAATCGTTTCATAAAAATATTTTGTTTCGCTAAACGTCGCGCAACAATCGCTAATGCTGCACCCAATGTAATCGGAAGGCCTAAATAAAAATAAATTTGAGAATTTCAGTAAAATTCGTTAAATTTCATGAGTGTATATTCCTTCATCAACCGTAATTTTTAACTTAACCTTACTTAAGAATTGATTTACAATTTAAACTAACGAAGTTTGATTAAGATGTTATCAAAGAAAAATGTGACATATGTATGGTCAAGAAAATTTAAACAACTGATAAGAATTCTAATTTGTCACATTATCGTTTATGAAGACGAAAAAAAGTTCTGAACTCCTATCTATGCTAATTAAATGTTTCAATGCTTTGAATTTAATAAGAAATTTAATTAGTACCATAAAAGGAAGAAATAATGAAAGAGATTATGCAAACCTTGTGGAATATTTGCAATGATAATGACAAGAAAACCATTTACAAACGTATTAACGATATGTTGAAAATCTGTCATTAATAAGCCAATAACAAATGTAATTGTCGCCATTGTAATTGCTAACGTGGAAATAAAATTAACGAAACGTTTATGTTCTAATTCCAAACGTGTTGGTACACCTTTTTGTTTGCTTGTCACACGTGCAATTTTACCAATTATCTAAGGAAAAACTGTAATTATTAATTAAATTTAATTATGTATTTATTCAGGTAATGTCTTCTTTCTTTTCATCATACTTGTTTTCTTTTTTTCTCTTTTCTTTCAATTAAATCTTTTTTACTTTGAAAAAATTATTTTTCTAATATTGCATTCATTTCTTTTATCCTACAAATAAATTTTCTTATTTAATTATTTGATTTATTTTGCACTTTCTTAAAAATGATTCCCTACTAATTACAATTTTTAAAGCTAATTGTTTATTCGAATTTAATCAATTAAACTTTCTTTTCTTTGATAAATTCATTTATTAAATAAGACATGATTACGCATAAATATTCATGCAATTTTACCAATTATCTAAGGAAAAATTGTAATTATTAATTAAATTTAATTTTTTTCCTGAATAATATTTCCGTTTTCCTGAATAATATTTCCTTTTCCTGAATAATATTTAAGTTTTCCTGAATAATATTTTCCTGAATAATATTTCCGTTTTTCAACTTTATCAAAACATAACGAAAATATATGTTTAAAATTAAAACATACCGTTCTATTTCCTGTCCGAATAGTTACACCATAACCGGTACCATTGGTACATAAGCAACCGTTAAGAGCAATATTTTGCGCCCCTAAAGCTGTCACGTTCTTTGGCACCGTAGTATCGCAAAAATCAAGAGGTTCCAATTCACCTGTTATCCATGATGTATCCAGTTTTAATTCATCCGTAAAAATTAATCGTAAATCAGCTGGTACACGAGCTCCGGGACTTCAAAATTCCGTTTACATTAAATTGTACCCATGATAAAACAGATCATATTTATGTAAGTTATAGCAAATATTTAGATTTGGATTTGGAAATTTTCCATTTATGTTCTTTTTTTTTTGTTTTGCTATGATCCAAAAAAGAGAGCTAAAATAATTTGACCCAAATTAATCTTATCATATCGATGTTTGATCGTCACATTAACTTTTTTTTTCTCTCATTTACTCTTTTATTTTAGGGTCTGTACATATGATTGTAAAAAGTTTGCCGAAAAGAAAATCATTGAAAAATTATCAATTGATAGTCTTCATTGTTGACTTTTTACTTTTTAGCCTATTTGGTTAATGAATTTTATATTGTTTGGCTAGATTACTAGTAATTTGTTTCGTTCTGTTTGCTAAAATCATAATTTGAATAATGAGACAACAAGAATTAGAAATATTTGGTAGAATATAAACTATTACTACTACGACTAATTTTATCATTATCATTATTCATTATTCATTACAACTATTGCTTACTTAATAATCATTATATGTCATAACCTATTATCACTACTACTATTATCATTATTATCACCACTACTATTACCACTATTACCATGCTATTACCATTATTTGTTGTCATTATTAACAGAATTAATTGGAGCATTTTTCCTATTTACTAATTTATTCATAGAAATAACTTCTGTTTCATTTCATTTTCTCTTGTTTAAAAATTAAATACAGTACTTGATGGCAATATAATTACATAATTCCTACTTTTTCTTTTCAAAAAATTATCATCCTCATAGTGGCTAAAATTAAAATAATTATTAAATTACCGGAGATAAACGATGTCACCAATGACAATATCAGAAACATTAATGCGTGTGCGTTCAGCACCTCGAATAACATAACAGTCTGTTGTCATCATTGATTGGAAACATTGCATATTCTAAAAATTTTTCAAATTTCTAAAAATTTAAATCTCTCAACTTTTGTATATAAATTATTAAAAATTTGTCAAGTTTAATTCACAAATTTAAATTTCCAATAGCAAATATTTTTTACTTCATCTTATAATTGTTTCATCTTAAAAGTTGGCAAGCAATTTTCCTTCATTTTTTAATCTTTTATTAAATTTCTAAAACTTGCTACAGTAACCCAGCAACAACATTTCGATAAAATATCATATTGCTGGTTTATTCATTTCAACTAATCTATAAATTTTATTTGGAAAAATATAAAACTGTACATTCATCTAAAGCATTACAATTTCATACTATTCGTTTTCAACTGCTAAAATATAATAATAATATAGAATATTGATGTGACATCGATAGCATCCTTATTGTTGACTTTTCAATCATCAATAGCAAATAATTTCAGTCGTAATATTTTTGATATATTAAAATATATTCCATCCTATTATCACCTTATCACTAATTGTTTTAATATTTTAAGTTTACAACTATCATATCATTTCTATTTTATAACGAAAAATCAAATCTACCTATCCGTTGTTATTCTTTCATTTAAAAATTAATTTTTTAAGATAAAAATATAAAATTGTACATTTATCCAAAGCATTGAATTTTTTTTAAACTTTCTTTTAAACTGTCGAAATATAACGAGAATTCATTATTTTCAATGTGTTGAATGTTTACGAAATGATTACATTATTTGATGACACTGATGACATTTGTTATTTTTTACTTTTCAAATTTACCTTTTTAGCATGTTGTTCTTGCCAATAACTTACTCCACATAAGATAAAAAATATAATGATAAGTGCAATAGCCAAACAAATTTCAATAAATCGATTAGTATCCAATGTATAAATGATAAAACAGGTTAATGCAGCAGTTAATAACAGTAATCGAAATGTATGCGAAAATTGTTTCAACAATAATTTTGTCGCTGTTCGACTGGTCACCGCAAATATTACATTACGTCCATCGGTTACCAAACGACTAGCTGCTTCATCCTTTTGAATTTTCATTTCATTTTTTTTTAATGATAATAACAATTATTATTGTTATCACCATTGTTTTAATTTTTTTACTATTATTGTTATTATTATTATTATTAAAAAATAAGTATTATTAATGTTAAATAGTTGAAATAAGATAGGCAATAAACTATAAAATTGATTAAAATTAGGCGAAAAAGGTATGATGTGAAAAAAAAAACAAAATTATTCCAATAATAAATAAATTTTTATTGATTTAGTTCCTTTAATTAATAATAAAAGATATAAACAATTAATGTAATAAATGTTTACTTTATTTAAACCTTTACTACATTCTGGATGTTCAATATCTATTCGTGATAATGGATGAAGATCACTAAGTTGTTCCAATGTTAATGTATGTTCGAAAAAATTACATTCCAATTCAAGTTCCTACAATAATGCTTTATATTATTAATAGGTTCAAATGGAAATTTTTCAAATTTATCACAAAATAATAAGCATCAAAAAAATTTTCTGAAAAAATCAGAACTTTTAAAATAAATAAAAAAGAGGGAAAAAAGAACTATGAAATTTTAACGATAAAATATACATTACATTGTTTATTGATTAGCAGCTTGATGACATTGTATTGTTTATTGATTAGCAACTTGATGACATTTGATCAATAATGGTTATAAAAAAATTAAAAGAAAGAATATAAATTAAACAAATATATGACAAAAATAATTATTGCCATCATTTCAACAATACTTTTTTCCTTTAAATCATATCTCTACATTAATTATAATAATTTGATAATACCTTAAGAAGATGATTATGTACTACCGTTGAAACATCGATTGTATTTGCATGTTTTGCTTTAGCCATGCCAATATCACTTTGTAAATATTGATTAAACCAATTAAAAAAATCTAAAAATTTAAAAAATTATCAACAGAAAAAAAAAAGAAAGCTGGTTACTTTATTGCATAATAATTCAGTGTACATTTCTTTTTTAAAAAACATTTCTTAAAAAAAAAAACGAAAAAAACAAGCAAATAGAAAAAGAACGACAAGAAATTAAGAACATTTAGAAGTGCAAAATGGCAATCAAACTCTAAATTAAATGGGACAGTAAGTTCCAATCTTTCTCTTTTCTTCTACTTCCTTTTTCTTTTCTTTTTTTTCTCCTTCAACCTGTTTGTGAAGTTAACTGATCATGTTATATAAGATGAGGAAGAAACGAAAATATTTTAAATTATTAAATATTTGAATGTATTCAATAGTATTTTATCAAGCTATCAAAATATGATATAAAAAAGAAAAAACAATTTATCATTTTAATTTTCAACATAAATATACGAATATGTATAGTTGTATTTATGCTGGATATCAAAAAAATGATGCATTGCAATAATTAGTTAATTAATTAACATATTGAAGTGTTAGAAAAGGAAGACAAAAAAAAAACTTCAAGAATTAACTATGCTGTCATCTTTTTTCTCAACTTGGTTTTATTCTTTGGTCTGAAAAAAAAAAAAATTATTACGTTGTTCATTTTAAATCCTCTATTTCAAAAGCTTTTGTTTTTATTTATAAATTTTCTTTCCCTAATCAAATTTATAACGCATAAGAGGAATATTCACAAAATTTCCAATTAGTTTTAAGGCATTCATCTATTCCTTATTCCCCTTTTAACAAACTTAAACAAATTTTATCGCTTTTTATTTCCTCAAAACTTTATCAAACTCTCTGCAACTATCTATCATACAAAAAAGTCAATATAAAGTATGAGAAAAATTTGTTTGGTTTTGTGGTAAGAAATAGACTGGTAGTAATGATCAATATTTAAAGTATTTAATTAATTAAAAAGAAAGAAGAAAGATGAAGATAGAGCAAATCGTTTGACATTGTTTAAATGCTTACCAAAAATTGATTTTATCATCCTTCTCTTCAAAACTGATAATTGAAACATAGAGATGAAATAACCTATCCAAATACCATCATCATTATCACATTGTAAAGTAATTATTCATTGAAAGTAAAGGACAAAAAAAGGTAGCAAAAAAAAAATTTCTTTTGGGTAAATATAAATCTCAATAATAATTAAATTTTAAGTTCTATATCAAATAATCTATAAATAACAATGACGTAGACAAAAAAAGAAATATTCTATTGATTAGGAATGATTTATCTGAAAACATTATTTAATAAACCTTTGATTATAGTTTTTTTATAGCTAATCGATGATAATTATTTTGAATTATAAATTAACAATTATTTTTAAATAAACTGGCAATGATTGTTTTAAATTTATTTTTTTTTATCTCTTACATTCACAAATGTAATATAATTTAAACTAAATCTGTGAAATAGATATAACTAGAATAAATATGACGTATGTTTATCATTCCTAGATTATTATTTTTTTCTTTTTCTGACATAACTTTTATTTAAACTTGGTAATCTATATGTAATTGTAATTAATCGTGATAGAAATAACTAAACTGAGCTGAATAATAATCGATAATAATTTAACAAATTGAAATAAATTTTTAACTTAAAATATCAATTTGGATGCAATTCTTTGTAATCAGGCATAATAATATTTTTTAAACAAATTAGGTCTGCAAAGAAAAACGTTGTAATGGATACATAATATTACTTAAATATAATCAAAAGATATAATCAGCAAAAAGAGTATGTTAGAGCGGATAATGAATGAACAAAGTGAGGTGGAAAATATTTGCTATCAGTGAGTGATTGCGCATTACTGATAACAGAACGTTTGGAACATAAGAGTCCTATCAAATAATCAGCAACTATATCTAATTCATCAAATGATGACATCAACTTTGTATATTTGATAAAATTTATCACTTCAAACTTCAAATAATTCCAAACTAATTTATCAACAACAATCAGTTCAGTTAACGAAATAAAAAGTTTGATTAATAAGTCTATAAATGCATATATTATACTTATAATACATTTAATATTACCCTTTGATATAAACAATATTTATTTTCCGGTTTTTGATTTAAATTTTTTTAGTGAACGAAACGAAAGAAAAAACCAAAAAAAACAAAAAGTTCCTTTTTAAATCATAATCATTACAAAAATTTGATGTAATTTTAAATTTCGAAAAAAGAAGCAAAGAAATAATTCTTTAAATTTTCTTCACAGATAATTTTAAAGAATGAAATAATTTAACAAGATTTTTCACTTTATTTTGAATTTGAATTTGGAATATTACATGTTAACTTCCAATATTGCGCAAGCAATCATTTCGATCAATCAATCTAACCTTCTATTTTTCCGGTTTTTTGATAATTATTAAAAGTTTTAATTCAACTTAAATAACAATGAACGACACATCAATGGGATAGTGAAACATCAAAAATAGTAACAATAACAATAAAACCTAGTATATATGTTAGATTTATATTTTTATGGTCTTATATTGAGAGCGTGAAACAAGTTTGAAACAAATTTAAATGAACAAGTTTTGAAAATTTTTAAGCAAATGCAAAAATTTTCTAGCCAAACATATTTTTCATTTTTATAGAATTGATTTAAACGAATAAATTTGCAATAATAAGAAATCACCAAAAGTTATAATTTTTCTTTTTTAAAGTTTCAATACAAAAAAATGACAAAATTGTATACGAAAACTTTTCTTTTTTGCATTTTTTATTAACAATTATTAAAATTTCTACTTTAAAAATTTCATGCAAATGTATTTATATATCATAATGGAGTACATATATATATATATATATATATATATATATATATATATATATATATATTATTAT